GCTGCTATGGTTGTCAAAGGTTATTTCTAATGGAATCATTTCATAGGTGACATCTCCAAAGGATAAAAGTCAACCATCTAATACTTCTATACTTATAGCTTTGGATTTTTTGACTGTACAAATTTTGTGTAATCTAGATAATTCTTCATCAATAAAACATGCAGAGGCTCTCAAGACAAGTAATGCATGACAATCTAGTCTTCTGACTCCTAACCATAAATATATAGTAAAACAACAAGAAGGGCTTGCAGAGAATACATGATCTTTTTTTATTTGTAATAGTGAAGAATTCAGCTGCACGGTCCCTATTGTGGCTAGACACCTTTGTTTTCTTGCAATGCTTTTGATGATGTGGCTGCACTCTTCATTTGATATATATGCTAGGATTTTTTTAGAAAATTATTAACCTCATGGCTAAGTTTTTTGCAATATAAACATAGGCCAAGTTCCCTTTGATGATTTTTTTCTTGTTTAAAAAGAGGTTTGAAGCAAACTGCATGAATGTGTATATCTTTTGCTTCCAATTGTTCATTAGAATTCGATGGTGAAGAAGCTGCAAAATAATTGATATATACATGTGGCGTAACTAAAGAATGTTTATCTTGTCATTGTTGATATAAATGGTTATTGCACTTCATAACTTGACTAATGGCTTCATTGAGTGTTAGAAGATCTGGCATAGACAACAACAAGTCATTGATATTATTTCTTAATCTCCAATGAAATTGTGTCATCAATGTGTCTTCTCTCTAATTTATATCACATTCTAATCATCGGAAATTTGAAGCATACATTGATGCAAAGCAAGTTCTTTGTCAAAGGCTTCAAATTTTAGTTATTGAAGAATGAACCTTATCATGTTCACAAAATGCTTTTGCAAATGCTGCCAAAAATGCTTCAAAATTGTACAATATAGGAGAATTTTTTTCAAATAATGGGGCAAACCAAGATAAAGCTTTACTCAAGAGCAAGATTCCAACCAAACCAATACGAGATACTTTAGTAGAATATCATTGAAATTGAAGCAAGGTGATTAGTCATACTTGATTTACAAAGCCACAAAATTTTGAGTAGATGCTATTAAACTTTTCTGGAAGGTTGATTCTTCGTTCTTTTGTTGTTATTGTTGTCAGATCATTGTCTTAAGTAGATGCACCTCCCATGTTTGAAGTAAACATAGTCATTAGAGAATTTAGAATCTCTATTGCGATTTGATGTGGTGGTTGAGGCACTTCAGCTCTTTGACCATTATGTATGGTCATATACAATTCTTTATTTTGCTTTGACAAAGTCTCTGTTCTAATCCTCAATACTTCAAGAGCATTAATAATAGAGTCTAATGTGATCTCTTTAGAGTTTTTCATATTAACTTTTTCACCTTCTTCCATAGAAAATCAGAGAAACACATGCCTTCAAAAAAAAAAAAAAAAAAAAAAAAAAAAAAAAAAACTTTGTCTATGATATAAAAAAAAGAAACCAAAAGAATATTAAGAAAAGAACAATATTAGTCTAGGGGAGGGTAATCTGCAACCTCTAGAATACTATAGTACTTCCAAGAAGAGGAGTAATCTATTCTCTATCTAGAAAGATCAAGCTCCTAATATTATTTTATGGCAGTCTTGAAAAATTATTAGGAACCATATACAAGACAAGGATTCAAGACTAAGGAATGGAGTTAACTTGATATTAAAACAACAACTAGATACAATCGAAGAAGGTCCTAACTAGACCACAAGAAGTAAATTCTTGAGACTGAGAATCTCCTCAACCTTAATTCCTATATATACTAGGTCCTAGGAAGCTTCTTAAGAAGTTTTTATGAGACTTGAGAACAAAGTAAGCCTAAAATCCTTCTTTAGTAACTTCCTAAATCATCTAAAGCCTCCTAGAACCTTCTAGGACCTCCTATGACCTTCTAGAACTTTCTTAGAATCTACTAGAATCTTCCAAAATCTTCTAGAACCTCCTAGAACCTTCAAGAGCCTTCTTAGAACATACTGGTATCTTTTGGAACCTTCTAGAACCTTCTAGAATCTTCTAAAATCTTCTTTAGTTGTATATCCATAACATCTGCAGAAGATTAAAAATTCAATAATAAATGATTGAACTATTGATTATGATTCAAATTTTATAGACCTTATAACAACTAAGTTAGAAATAAATATAAAAAATTTTAAAAAAAGATTGCACATATCAAATAGATATTAAACCCTAAAATCTACTTGGATATTGATCAACTTCCTTTTTTAATATTGATATTAATCTTCCTAAGCCAAAATCTCTTAATTCCATCATCAAATAACTCTCAAAATTTACATATATGTTGGAAATTAAGTCTACTACCTACATACATAAATTTCACTTCAATCCAATTGGTAAATTGCTAAAGATCTTAGAAATCCTTATTAACCTTCAAAACCCCATTTTCAAGATCTCAATCCACTTCAATTTCAATAACCTTCAATCTAACCATTTGATCACATTGAAATTTATAAAAAGAAATAAAAAAAATTATAATCACAAACCCATAAATTTTCACGTATAAATCTACTACCAAACTCACAATTTTTTTCCAAATGTAAATCTTTTTTTTATTTCATAAAGTCACATTCACCAAAAACAACCCTGACTTTGCAAAGTTCTTACAAAGTTATTACAAACTCAAATTGTCCAAAACTAGCACTCAAAGAAATCCTATGAAGTCTTTTCTTAAATCCCACTCTCTAATTTGCTAAAAAAAATCCGAAGTTATTATAGGTGCATGGTTTTTTGCCTCCAAATTTGATTTCAATACAAGTTGACAACTGGTCTTCTTTGGGTATCAATTTTTGGTAATTTGAGGTAAGTTTTGCTTTAACTTATCGTTAACTCTCTTCTAAATATGTCTATATCTATTACTTATCTCATTTATTTTGATTTGGTTCATTTATGCTTCTACAAAGTAAATAGAAGTCTCTTCTATGAGAGGCAACATCAAGACTAAATTTTTTACTACATTTTTATAATTTATCATTTTTTTTCTACTATATCTTCCTATTAGACTCTTCTATAATAACATCCATTTTTTTATTTTTATTTTTTTACCATATAATCATGTTATTACATAACATCGAGAATGGAGGCAATGGTTGGAAACAATAGAATGGCTAAGAATAGGGCATATGGATTGATTTAATAAAAAAAATTTGGTTGCTTTATCATTTTCTTACATGTATGTGTGTGTATGTATATATATATATATATATGTGTGTGTGTGTGTGTGGAAACAACCAATTCAAAAGAATAAAAAAGATGATTTCTAATTGAACTTAATAACAAAACAATCTATGTCTTGTACAAAAACATAGGCAACTGAAATTCTAAGTTAACAGGATTTCATAACATTGTGAAAATCGTCTAGAATATTAAATTGAAATTACTATTCTATGGCTTTTTAGCTTATAGTATCAATTTAATATACTAGAAAATTTTAGGCCAATTAATATTAATTATTTTTATAAAAGATAACATCAATCATAACAGATTCAAAGGATTGTTAGTGTCTGTGAAATTCAAAAATCACATGTAGCATGTAGAAAGACACTGAAGGAATAACCACATGATATGGCTTTACTAAAACAAACAGAAATTGACAACTCAATTCAATCAAGTTCATTCTTGATTGACAATTTCAAAGCTTAGTTTTTTTATTATATGTATATTTATAAAATACAAGCTTATGGTGATTATTGCCAGACATCATGGACAATACCAACAATTGAAATGATGAATCAACAACATCAACAACATGAACATCATAGCAGAATCATGCATGATCTTCAAATTTAAAATCATCATCCGTAATACAATTTATATTAATGAAAAATACTTTCAAAAAAAAAATTACACTGAACATACAAAAGTAATTAAATAGTATTTTGAATATAACTTCACAAATACAAAAACATACAAGATTTTTTTTTACTCTTTATTTTAAAGTAAATTACTGCAAGCCATATCATATTATATATATGTATATATATAAACCAAACATACAGATCAAGAATATCAAAGTTATCAAGATTAGGAACGAATTACGTTCCTCAAGGATAAAGGTAAAAAGATAAAGTCGGCGCCGCTAAAATATCTGTACAGGATGAGCGGGGATGGGCTGGGTCCGAGGAGGAAGGGGGAGCCTGGCCAGCAACAGGCGTAGGGAGCCGGTGGCGGGGGTGGGGCGGTATAGTTACAGACTAGGTAGGAGGGGAGGGGGAAACTGGGGGGGAGGGGGGGGGGGGGATGGGCCTGGGCGGTACAATAGAAGGTAGAGAAAGCCCCATTGCGATCATCCCTGCCTCCCTCCCTCCCGCCTATGGCCACGTGCACCACTTTCTAGAAAAGACAGTTGGCGTGGAGCGGACGGTGCTCCCTGCTTGAACCCTGACGTTCGCCTATCACCGTGCTCCAAGTGTCCTTACCCTGGATCCTGGACGATCCCTCCTTTTAATAAATGGTAAAAAAATGAACGTATTTCTCATGACGGCCTCGACGGATGCTTCTGGAAGTCATCTCTGTCATTCTTGTTCCATCCAAACCTGGCTTCGTACAAGTAGAATTTGCCATACAATATCAGAATTGTGTTAGGAAAGCAAGTTGCTCCGATCCCTGGCACTCTTACGATTAAATGATGTATGTATTCCGAGTCCTTTGAAAACTCAAAACCCAAATTTCAAAAATAAAAAGTTCGTTCATTCCTTGGAGCAGATGAAATCGTTGGATCCAATTTTCCAATGACAGCTCCTGCAACACCCTTCTTGAAATCTGACTGCGACGATTAGAGTTGACAGCCAAGGCACGTCAAGGTTTGGATCCGAACCCAGTCGCCTGGCGCAGTAAAGCCCAGTTCAGGTCACAAGGACAGCGTGACAGGTCGACGAATCCAGGCTCGGATTTGAGGTTCGGAACGGACCCTAGAGGGGGAGCGGGGCCAAGGGCAGGCCAGGCAAGTTGCAGGGGAGATTCGAGGCAAGGCGAACGGTGCGAGACGGTGGGGATGATGGTAGTCATTGTCTGCTTCTGCTCCTTTCCCCGTTTGTATCGCCCGCCCACTCTCCCTCATCGGATTGTTCGCTCACTGTTGCCCGCCTCTTATACTTCTCTCTCTCCCCCTCTGAATTCTCCCCATCGCCAACCGGCGCCCCATCGACCACCTGCCGACTGTTTTGTGTGAGACGTTTACTTTCGACTCGACCCGACGCACCCTCTCCCCCAGGGTTCTCCTCGATTCGGTGATTTCTTCTCTGTGCGCTCACCGCGTTGATCTTTCGTTCTCGTCGTGATGGCGGATACCGCTAAGGTGAGGTCTGCATGTGGTGGCAGTGGACTAGGAGAGTTGCGGGTGCCGTGTGGTTTTTCTCTGTTGTTGTTTTGGCTTCTCTGTTTCTCTGTTACGTTGTCTTTGTTGTTGTCGTTGTTGTTTTTTTGATTTTGCCTTTCATGTTAATTTGATGTTCAATTCCTTATTGAATTATAATTGGTGTCATTTAAATGGTGAGAGTGGGCTGATTGTGATGTGTTTTTGTTCAAATATGTTCAAGTCCTAGAACATGCGTCTGGATTAGTAGGGTTCATTTTGGATCTTTCTGGCCTCATACCTCTGGTGACGCTCTGAATTTTCTGTGGAGGGGTTGATGGTATCGAGGTCGCAATTGCTAGAGATAATTTCTCGGAAAAACTTCACAGCTGCTGATATTCAGTTACTTTAATTAGAATTTAAAACCTATTTATTCCCTGGATATTTTTGTGGAGTAGGAGATTTGAATGTAATTTGCTATTAGCGCTTGTTTGTTTGATTTCGTGTGGAAGGTTGCCCTTCACGCGGGCGATTAGGAGCGTACTTGGCCTCGTTCATCTGGATCGCGTCCTCTCACAGATTTATGCGCACAAACCGCTTCAGTTGTAGAAGCTACAGGATTTGTAAACTAGGGGTTTAGTAAGAACAAGATATTGCATGCGGTAGTATATCTTCTGTAGCGTCTCGTATCATTCTCATATATCGTGTACGGGGGTTCCTTTCGGAACTTCATGCATTGCTGTGTGCTTTTAGTATGACCTGCTAACTTGGTCATGTCTCTCTTGCCCTGCAGAGTGCTGATCTGAAGTATCTAGGGCTGGTTCACGCCCTTGTGCTTCAGGCCGCAGCCTATTTGGCGACACTTTACGCTTATGCGAAGGACAGCTCAGGGCCTCTAAAGCCCAGCGTCGACAATGTCGAAGGGACAGTGAAGACCGTTGTAGGCCCTGTATACCAGAAAGTCGAAGGGAAGCCTTTGCAGCTTTTGCAATATGTTGACAGCAAGGTAATTCGGTCTTAGTTTTGATTTAGTGTGGTTTTAAAAGTATGGTGAACGAATGAGTTATCGTCTTATCCCTTGGCGTGGGCTGCTAGTAGTCTTTACTGCTAACATTGTTCGCGAGAGTTTTTTAATCTCAGTTGCGACAAAATACGATGTGTAGGTCGATGAGACCATCAGCTATGTTGATGGCGTTGTACCAAAGTACGTGAAAGACAAGTCTTACCAAGCACTGGACGTGGCCAAGCAAGCTCCAGATGCAGCAAGAGGCCTTGTTTCTGATGTTCAGTCTCGGGGTGTCTATTCAACTGCATCATCATTGTATGAGAGGTATGAACCAGTTGCGGAGCAATTGACATTTGAGGCATGGCAGAAGCTCCTCACACTCCCACTTGTTCCACAAGCTGTAAACGTCGCTGCCCCTGCTGCCAAGTTTGGAGTTGTTCAATACAACAAGCTTGCGGAAATTTTGAAGAGCAAAAATCTGCCCTTGACTGCTTACATTCCGGTGGTTCCTATTGAGAAACTTGAGAAAGCTATGAAGCCTGCCGTGGCCCCTGCTCCGGCTCCTACTGCTGCTGTTTCTGCTGAATAGGTTAATCGTGTAGACCATTACGAGTTTATATGAATTTGTTTGAGCGACGAGTAGTTTACGATGTCTGCTGCTCTTGCGAGTTCTTTGAGTAGGTTAAATAACTCGTGGTCAGAATAGCCCCTGGTCAGAATAGCCCGTGAAAAGGATTTAGTACAGATCAATAGCTGCCAATATCGCCCAAGGTTTGTGGTATCGTCTTGTATATGATTGTTGATACCGAAGTTTAGCAACTGGTATTGAATTTCTCATGCAAATCATTGGAATGTCTCCACTTTCGAACTTTATGACGTTGCCCTCTAACTTCTTTTCTCCCGTGATTACCGACTAAGTATCTCAGGATCTCCGTAAGGACGGTTTTGTGGGAACTACTTCGCAGTAAGAAACCAATGTCAACGTTTGGGTTTACCATCCCAAACCAAAACTAGAATGAATATTTCATTACTGCGCATGAGCTGCTAATGTCTACAATTTGATTTTGAATCCGATCTGTGCACTTTCGTCGAGACTGAACGGATGTAACAACTCATGATTCTTCACACAACCTTCTTGGGAAGATGTGAGCAACTACTTCGTAACCAATTCATAAGTTGGCCGACTATCATATAGAAATCAAGTTCTGATACGACGAAAGAAAACCTCCGTGATACTGGACTATAACACGATTTGAACAAGTTTTTAAAACATAGGATTTTATAACATCACATTTAGCAGAAGATACTGGAGGAATATCGCAAGGACCGACTTAGAAGGACAAACCGCGGACTTGTTTTAGATGATTCAAGTTTCAGACACCAACTGCTGAAAATACATTTTTTTTTTCCCAAACTCAGCTGATATTGTTTTGCTCAAACAGGTCTGTACAAAAGGTCAACAGTGCTACAAAGGCTGCGCAAATGCATCGTTCATGCACTTCACGCTTGAGTTGCTTATTAAAATAACGATTGAAATTAGATCCAGGTCTTCAATACTGGATGCCGTAGAATTAGCTCTACCGACCAGTTGCCATGTGTCCAATGAGACGCAGACAGAGAAATTCAGCAGGGTTCAAAATGAGGAATAAACTAGTATTGCACAAAGACTTCAGATGGCCTTTGAAAGGTGGTCCACAACAATCCCTCAACCCCATCTGCTTCTTGAAACTGAACCTGTGTAGCAGCCTCGAGAGTCCGCCCCCTCTAATAAATGACGGTGGGCACTAAGCAGAGGCGAATGTCCACCTGGAATTCAAAGACGCCCCTAGTCGCTGGAAGTGCTGGCTTTATCTGAAGAATACTCCTTCCCAGAGTACCGCTGCATTCAGTAACATTACCATGAGGGAATTATGCACTATTCAACTCCTGAAAAAATTACAATCGAGAAACATAAATGTACTGAAGAAAAGCTCTTGATATTCCAGCCGAGTATTAGAATCAATTTCTTTTCCTCACATAATGAAACTATGGGAATATGCAACATACATCCAAGAAAAGTAACAATAGAGTAGTTCAATATACCACATCCACAACCTTAGACGAAATCTAAGAAATTAGAAGCCAAATGAAAAAACAGCGAAACAGAAACTATCATCCTACCTGGGCTTTCAGATATGCTTGCTATGATCCATTAGCACAAACCGCCTCGGCATAAAAATGTAACACGATCTACTCTCGCCCCATCATATACCCAAAGACTTACTGTAGAGAAGAGGCAGTAGAATCCTTAAATAAATAGAATAATAATTGCGAAGGTTTTGAGGTACCTGTTTACCCAACGAAAAAGGGACATATTTATATTTGATCATGTGTCGAATTTGACGCTTCATGGTGAGAACAAAAAGAACGATCCAATACATCAACAGTATTGGCCAAAACACAGGCACGTCGAATATACTGAAGAAAGTCAAGGTGAATGCCACCACCAACGCTTTCGTGAATGCGTACCTGGATAAGAACAAGGCGAAGACTCGTCATGAAGCAGAATCGTATAATTCTAGGAGAAGAAACCCTTATTTTCCAAGGTAATATGTGTGATTACTCCAACAACAATGAGAAGTCTAAGGAAACGGAAACCAACAACCCATTCCTATCTGCAAATATAATAGGGATCATCAATGATTGTACAAAGCTTACGACAAGGAAATGCGGCCATGACAACTATTCTTCTTTGCTCGTATGGTAAGCATGTAGGGATGATGTTGAAGAATCTTTCGATTTAAAATACAGACATAAAGCTTCTAACTACGTGACCATTTGATACCGTCGTAAGGCATGGTGTTCAAAAGAGCAAGTCAAAGAGACTTTACGAAGATCAAGTACGACCGACTGAAGCGCTTCAAACAGCAATGCCACACTGTGAGATGACGTGTATCGCATAATTAGCATAATTGAAATTCAATTCCGACGTGTTTTTCTTGCTGCCAAAGAAAGAACGTCGTAGGCTACGAGTTCCGCCACAAGAGTGCAGTAACAGTCACCTCATTTTCAGAACCGCATTGAAATATTCGTCACCCCTCCCCTAACCAGATTCCTTGGTAGATCAAAACTAGACCAACGACCGTTCTCAGGACGCAACAATTAAACGCAAAAGAGTGAAAAAAACAGGAGGGGGGACGGAACAAAAAGAATTTAAAAAATAAAAATAAAAACGACGTGAAAGAACTAGTAACGGTCAGGACAGAAAAGACTACAAGGAATCGCCACACGTACCAGAATTTGAACTCAGGAAGTCTGCGAATGAACGGCTTGAACTCATCGCTACCCTTTGTGGGCAAAGCAGGGCCCTCGCTCTCCGGGTCCACTTGAGGAGACAGAAACCCTATAAGCAGGTTCAGCAAGTAGATGCCGAGCCCGTATGTAACAATGTAGAAACCCTGCACAAAGTAAGCGCGTAGACAGTAGATTGCAGCCATGACGAGCGTGCCAACCCACCGCAAGCCCGCATGCGGTGTCGACTTGTCCAAATAGTACTGAAATCGGCGTGCCATTTGATCTCTCCATTTCATCGCCGGGTTAGACGACGCGCCGAACGCGTCGTCGCCGTGTAAACCGTCCATCCCTACGATTGCCAAATGCTAATCTCCTTTGCACAGCCAAACCAAAGCTCCTGCTATAGTGACTCTTGCTGCTAACCTGGCTCCTCCTGCAATCGACGAATCAAAATCCTCCCTCCTCAATCCCTCTCCACCCTGAACCTTAGGGTTTCTGATCTAACCTCGAACGACTACCTCTACACATCCTTATTCCGTATGGAAGCTTCGCATAATCCAGCTGTTGAGAGCAGTGAGTTCATATTCCTGGTTATGCAGTGAGGCAACAGCGGCGACGCATCTAACGCGGGGCGGAGTGTAAGAATCAGAGAAGCCAAGCAGGATCACAAGTCACAAGTCCAGCACAACTGCAGACATGGCGACGCAGGGGCACAACCAAGTGCCCGAAGCCTGCCATCAGAGTCTCCAGGTACCAGCGCACCCTGTTTCGAACGATCGATGTATGATCACATCCATTCGTGTACGTATTCATCCATCTATTTAGCGGGGCTTGTTCCCCTACCTCCCTCCTCCGTATTCTCACCTAGGAACGTGTCTACTGTGAGCTCGGTCGTATCTTTGTGTCTTCAGCTTCGGATCCAAGCCAAAGCTTTCACGTTCGGAGTGAATTCATTTAGTACACGTGTGTGTGTGTGTGAATGCATTCAATTAAGATTTCTGGACATTTTAGTTTTGTTTAATGAGAAATGTAATTAGTTGAGCTTCTTGTGAATTGTAAAAGGAGAAAAATTGGTTCTCTATGAATCTCAGGAAAAAATTGAATAGCATTGTATTCTGAAAGTGGAAAAGCGACATGTGTATGAAGTCGATAGATGCATTTTATTTTGAGTAGTTCGTATAAATAGCAAGAAGTAAAAAAGAGAAAAATAAGTTGAAGATTGAATGTGTCTTTCTTTATTTTCAATATTTCCAATATTCAATATATACACACACACACACGTATGCGTGTATGAAAATGTTTTTTGATAATGCACAGGACAGTTGTGGATAATATTTCTACATATTTTGTATATATTTGATGTAAGTTTATATTTTCAGTACACAAAACACTGTACTTGTTTATGATTTTGGAATTCTTTGGAAAGAAGTAGCAGGATATTTTATCCAATAATTATGTTGTTCTACTATTATATAACAAACATATGAAACAAATAAGTATTTTAAAAAATCAGGGTTAATAATTATTAAATTCTATTTAATTTTCGTAATTCTTTGAATTATTCTTTCAACATAAATATGCATTTTAATGTATGTTACTTACTTTAATGTATGTTACTTACTTTGAATAAAATCTCGATGTAAATAATATATAATGTTCATGTTGTGCAATTATACATGTTGTATTGCTGTTACTATTGCAAATGTTTTGATTTTTTTATTTTGATTTATAATATGCTTGGTTTTGATTTTTTACAAGTTCCAATTTTAAACTTAAAAGCTGGTAATGAAATGATAATAATACTGTACATAAAAACATTTTCAAAGATCTACAAGTCTTTACAACAAAAACTTGTGTCTATTACAATTTATAACAAATTTCTTAAAACTCAATGAAGCATTCTATAGCAGTAAAATCTAAAGAATTTTTGCAAGCGCTCTGTAGAAGTAGGTTTATTTCACAAAATTTTCACTCGGTAGAATCTCTTAAATTCAAAAAGAAAAACTATTTTATAAAAAGGATATTTATAATTCTACTTTATAAAAATTTCAGATTCTATTTAATAGTTAATTATTTAATAGTTGTTTTTACTCCATTTCATGAAAGAATATCCTTTTATCTTTGTTTTATTATTAACATAATTTTTATTTATAATTATCAAAATATTAACTTAAAATGTTTTTAAAATAACTATATATATATATATATATATATATATAGAAAATCATGTATCACTTTTAACTTATTTGTTTATTTATTTAGTTATTACCATTTTTGAATCCTATTGTTGTAAATTCTATGCAAAGTTCTATCAAGCATAGTTATAATTTTACAACTAGATATTGTATTGCCAACTCCTTTATTACTGTTTTTACAAATCTAAATACAACATATTATTCATAGGTAGTTTCAGGTCAGTCTAGACCTAACAATCTTCAAGATTAAATATCTAGGTTTATATGAATTTAAAAAGCTATCTATATACACTTATTAATTTTTTTTAATATGGTCTTTCCCACCATTTTTATGACTAATCACCAATATAATTTTGGATTATAAATTATTTTTTATAAAAATAAAATATTTATTTACAGATTGAAGATGATTTAATTATATTACTCAAATATTAAATAATATAGTTAAAAGACATATTGTAAGTATTTTAATTGATTTAAAATTAAACCTAAAATTAGAATAAACTTTATTGACTAAATAGATCTTTAATAGAATAAATACATTGGTAAGTTTTTTTTTATAATACCATGTAAATCTTTATTTAATTGATAATAATATATATTTATGTATACACATATATAAATACATATACATATACATATATATAAATATATGTACATATACACAAATAATCAAAAATATAAGATGTAGTTTAATATATTTAGTTCTCTTTTATAAGTAATTGAAAAATTAAATTTTTTTGTTTAAAAAATGAATTTGAAATATATTAATGATTAACATGTATAAAAACAGAAATAATACAAATTTTTTTTTTGAGTTATTGCATATTCATTAATTAATTTTAAAAAATAAAAAATACTTTAAAATAAAAATATAAATTATAAATTATCATGTTATATTCAAAGTACCAAATAAAAATTGAAGTAAACGCCAAGAGTCTGATATTTTTTTATAAAAAACAGATAAGTAGAATTATAGAAAATAAGAAAATTTCTATTTAGATTATCTTATCAAATTCTATTATTAAAAACAGACAATGTTTAAAGTCAATTAATTTGTGGCAGATAAAGATAGAATAAATGAATTAAAACTAAAAACTAAAGTCAATAAAATAAATAAAAACTTACGCAATTGGTTAATATGCTTTTATATTTTTTATTAATAACGATGTATATATATATATATATATATATATATAGATATATATAATTTTTTAAATATAAAATTGACATTTAGATAATTTTTATTTTTATTTATTTTTATATTTTGTATATATTTTATAAATATCATTACAATATAGAATTAAGATTTTAATCTCATATGATTAAAAAGATTTTTTTCATTACTTTTCAAAAATAAGATATATATATATATATATATATATATATATATACATATAATATTGTATTTATAGAATATTTATTTTAGAGTATTTATCTATCTATACACATAGTGTAATGAATGTATATATCATTTTAGTAAGTAGAAGTGAAATAAGGGCAGCAAAAGTAGAAAAACATTTTAGATAGATAATATTTTTCTTAAGAAGTTTTAATGAATATTTTTAGATATAAATTATATATTTAGGCTTTTGCAAATATTTCATGTGGCTTTCAAAACTAAATGTACAAGTTTCTTACTTTTAAGGAGACTTTTTGGAAGCAATCAATAACAAGAGAATTTAAATACAAACTTTAGAGATTCTAGGAAGCTTCAAAATAACTTTCTTGGGAACTTATATATATTAAAACAAGACTAAGGCCATCCTAAGAGTTTGTAATATCTTTCTTGTATTCTAATTTTGATTTACAACTATCTAAATTATTTGTTCAATACACTTTAGATATATTTCAAATACATTTTAAAATATATCTATCTATCTATCTATCTATATATATATATATATATATATATATATATATATATATTTATATCTATGTTTATTTTCTTTTCATTTTATTTTTATTCCAAAAATTTATAATATAGAATATATAAAATGTAAATTATTTCTAAAATTTTGTATAGAATTAATTTATTTGTTAAGATTTTCTATCATTATAAGCATCAAAGTTGAGAATTTGTTTACAATTATATTGTTTCAAAAAAATTACATGGAAAAATGAGTAAATTAGTAAATTAAGAGAATTTTGATTCTTTTAAATTTATTTATACTACTATTCATTGTTTATTTAAAATAATTCCTTAAAATTTCTAAAACAAATAAATAAGTTTAAGAGCAATTAAAATTTTAAAAATTTATTTGAATAATAGATTGTAAAATTTTGGTAAAATATATGCAAAAAAATAAAATAAAGATGAATATAGATTACTTTGGTTTCTTATTACTTTATATTACCATTATTTAGTTTTATGTCTATTATATGGTCTATGATTGATTATTTTAATACTGCAACTGTAGATGGTGGAAAGCCCTTATACATTCATAAGTTTATTTATTAATTTAATAGTATTATTATTAGAGTCTTGACACCTTAAAAGGTGAAATTTCAGAGAAATAATTCAATACATTAAAATATTTGCTACTAGACACACTTTTTTTATGGAATATGAATCAAAGATTTTTATTTTTTATTTTTTATTTTTAATTTATGAATTCAATACTTATTTTGCTGGTATCAATCACTACATTTCAATTTTTTTGATATATAAGCATTATTCAAAGTAATTAAATAAAAATTATTTTTTTTATATTTAAAATTATATTAACCACACAAAGAATATTTTTAATTTAATTCAATTTCTACTTAAATTATATATATATTCGTAAAAATAATTATAACATGGGTTGTATTTTTTCTATACTTGCTCAATTAGTTTGTGTTGCAATCTTTCATTTTGCTATTGTTTAAGAAACAAGTCACATTTAAATTTATTTTGCTCTATTTGTATTTTCTCAATAGCATTTGTTTCTACAAAGTTCATTTTTTTTCCAATTTTTATGTTTATCTTTATGTTTTTTTCCTCTTAATTCACAAAATAAGTTGTTATTAATTTCTTGATTATCAAATTTTGTAATATTACTAATATCTATTTGAATTTTTAAGTTTTTGATCTTGTAGATAATTGATACTATCAATGAATATTAAATGTCTTATTTGAGGTAGTTGGATTTGAAAAAATATATTTAAAAAAATTTATTAAATAATTATAGTTTATTATTTATTTTATATCACCTAATAATATATGATAATTATATAAAATAAGAGATAGAAATATAAATTAAGAATAAATATAGGATTAAAAACTTTAATAAAAATTATCTTAAAATACTTTTATTGATTTGTTTATAAATATCAAATTAATTGAATGCTTATTTAATATAAATAATTTTAATTTTTGATATTGAAGATATAATAAAATTATATATATATAAAATACAGAAATAAGATATATTTTACATGTTAATGAAGTGATAAATATATATATTAGAATATTTAATTTTTAATATCTAGAAGGCATAGCTAAGAATACTTACAAGAAAGAAATAATACTAGGATTAATTCATTCATACTTTTGTATAAGA